TATACTAAAATATACTAAATAACTATACTAATAAAATAAATACAAATAAGAATAAAATAAAATAAAATAATAAAAAAAATTATGAAAGTGGAGGAAACCCATGGTAACATCGCTGTGCAATATTCTCAATGTTCCTCAAATTCGTTACATTCTTGACAATGGAAAAATGAAGTTCTTTATTCCAAGTTAATTTTTCTGTTACTTTATACTTTTCTATCTGTTGGACAAGTACTTTTACTTTCTTCTTCTCTATTGATAATTCTTCCTATAATCTTTGTCATTCCTTGTTCACTTTCTTTTGTTTCTCAAGATCTTTATTAATTTCTTTTACTTGTTCCAGTTGTAGTGTTAGTACTTTATTTTCTTCTTTGAACTTTTTAAGTTGTTAATGGAATTCACTTTCTTTTTCTTCTTTGTTTTCTTCTTCTTCTTCCATTTCTTTTTTCAGTGGTGTTATGTTGAATAATTCTTTAATTTATTCTTATTTTCATTTTCATTCTCTTTGTTTTTTTGTCAGTTCTTTAAATATTTTCCTTTTATATTATCCTATTAACTTCTTATTAACTTTAAATTCTACTATATTTATAACTAATTTATTCCAATATTTATTTCTAATTATTTCCATTTCATCCATACATTTTTTTTATTTGGTATATTTATTAAACCATATTTAAAGCTCTTAACAGTTCAGTTCAGTTTTAGTTTGAAACTGGAACATGAATACTCAATTCAAAACTGAACTGAAATCAAACTGAACCAGTTATTTTTGGTTTAAATATTAAATTTTAAAGTCTCACTGGTGGTGATTGTTACCACTAGGCAAAATTATATAATTCCTTGATCAACCTATCCTAACTTCACACACATAAATTTAGTTTTGCCCAGTGGTGACAATTATCACTGGTAAGTTTATTTATTACAATTCAAAATTACCAGTTAAGATTATATTAATTTTATATTGAATATTTTATTTATTAATGAAAAAATAGATACAAAATTAATCAAAACTAATTTTATAATTATATAAAATATCTTAAAATTATTTATAATAAATTTTTAAAACTATATAAAATTAATTTTAAAATTATATAAAATAAATTTTTAAAACTATATTTAAAATTATATATAATTTAATTATTTTTACTAACATTTTCATTAATTTCATTAATATTTTCATTATCTAATTTCCATCAACCTTTCAAACACATGCACATTCTAATGGTATTTGAATTTAAACCACATCTCCTTTGTATTACTAAATCTGTACCTCCTGAGAATATTTGTTCAGCAGGAATACTAGTTCCTATTCAAAATAAAATAAAAATATGCATTTAAAAAAATAATTAGAAATATTATTTATATAATATTAAAAATTATACCTTGAATTGAAAGATAATAATGAGCCATTTTAGCAATGGTAGGAAATTTTAATTCATGTAACTATAAATAAAATAAAATATATATTACATATATTAATATTTAACATTAATTTATTACAATTTTAATATTATACCTTCCAGTATGATAATGAATCTATATCAAAATCAGATGCAGGTTCTTTCAAATAAGATTCTAATTCATCTTTATATACTACTTTTCACTTTTTGAAAATATGATTAGTTAATGCTGTTTGTTTTAAAATTGATATATTTGATTCTTGATTTCCATCAGGTTGTATTTTCTTTTCCATAAATTAGTAATTTGAAGTTTACAAGTTTAAATATAATTAGAATCAAAATTATTTTCTTTAAAATAAGTCAGTGTCAAACAAGGGTCCAAACCTATTTAATATAAAACAAAGTATTAATAATTAAAATTTAAATTTAAATATATATGAAAATATAAATAGATTTCATACTTGTTGCAACAATATAAACTAAACCATCAGAAGTTGGATAATAGTCATTAAGTTTTTGTATTGAAACATTTATAGCATCATTCATATCAGTTGAAAGTTCATTTTTTTGTTGAAATTCTTCAATATTATCAAATAAATAGTTGTAAACTGGAACAGTTTAACCTAGAGTAAGAAATTTTGATGTACTTATTTCCAAGGTAGCATTTTTAAAACACTATATCAAATTATAATTAATATATTTTATTAAAAAATATTTATTTTTAACATTAATTATACTTTTAATAGATCTTTTATATTGTTTAATTTATTCCATTCTTCCTCTTGTAACAAATATACAGAAAGGTTATTATCAACAGATTCCATATTATGAAGTGGCTAATAAAAAAATATATTTAGGTAATAATAAAAATCAATATAATTAAAATAAATCCTTTTTACCTCACAAAGAAATATTGCTCTCTCAATCATATCATATGTGGAATTCCATCTTGTCTTTATATCAGGAATTAATTGAAGTTCTTTTACATTAACAGCTTTGCATTGTTGTCAAAATCATTCATGTCATAATGGAGAGGCCCTAATTTTAACCACCAATTTTCTTAATTTTGCAATAACTCCTTAGAAGTTTCATTAATAGACTCTTGTAATATATCTTGTTCATTTTCTGGTCCCAATCCTTGTAATGCTTTTAAAGTAATTTGAGCAGCAAGGTTAATAATATGTGCAAGGCATCGTACATGTTGATTTTCAGAGCTAAATATAGTTCCTTCATCAGCACAATAAACATCCAAACAATTAAACATCATATCCATATTAGTTACATTGTCAGTGGTAACTCCTAATATCTAAAATACATATTAATAAATAAATATAATCAAAATAAACTAACCTTATTCAAAATTTCATATTCTTTTATTGTATTAAAAAAAACTCTTGCAAGATTTTCATTTGAATGTGTTCCTTCAGATGGTTGAAAATCAAGAAATGTATCTTTTAATTCCCAGTTTGAAGAAATCCAATGAGCAATTATTCCAAGAAAAGGTATTTGATTGTTTGAAGTCCATGCATCTAAAGTAAAAGAAATACAACATGAAATTTCTTGTAATTCTTCTTTAATTCTTTCTTTTTCTTTTCCAAAAGTTTTGAGGATTTTGTTTTGAATAGTATTACTAGTAGGTAATTTAGCATTTGGATTAAGTCTTTTTATCATGGTTTTAAATAATTCTTTATCAACAACAATAAAAGATCGATCATCAGCTGCAATCCAATTCATCAAATCTTCAATCTAATTTTCTTGAGTAAATATCTATTATTTATTTAAAATTAATATTAAAAATAAAGTTTAAAGGATTAATCTGTTTCTCTTTCATGAATTACTTTCTAACCTCCATTTTTGTCACTAATTAAACTTATTTATCACATTTAGTAATATTACCATTTAAATTTTCATACAGATTGAACGGATATTCACAGAAAAATTAATGATTTAATCTATTTTAAAAAAATGTCAATTTCTTCGCGAATATTTGTTAAATTTGTATGAAACCTTAAACAAGGATACTATTAAATGTAATAAATAAGTTTAATTAGTGATAGAAATAGAGTTTAAAAAGCAGTTTGCAAGATTGAAATTGGTAAAGTTGTACAGTCAATATAATATTAAAAAAATTTATACATGCCAATGCTGTTTTTGATTTAACAAATTTATCCAATGGTCCTGAAGTAGATATTTCTGAATTCAATTGTTTATGTTCATAAGCAATATGGCCCCTTAATGTAGAAGTTGAATTATCTTTAGCAGCCTTATAACTTTTACTAAAATTAAAATGTCAAAAGTATATACATTTAATATTTTATATATTTACATTATATGCATATATCTTTCCTTAATACTTACATGTAATGATCACAATAATATCTATTTTCTTCTTTATTTAAAGTAAAAAACTGATAGATAGAGGCTTTTTTTTATTATTGTTATTATCACTATTATTGTTGTTATTATTAATCACTGTTAAATTGCTATTGTTTGCTTCTGTTAAATTACTATTACTGGCTTCTCTTGAAACTGATGGTTCATTATAATATATGTTTTCTTGAAAATTTTCTGATTCAGTATCACTTAGAATCTCGACCATTATAATTATTAAAAAAATTATCAAAAAAAATCTAGATCTTTATTAATATTGTCATGGTCTGCGCAGAACAAGTGAAAAGTTAAGCCAATCAGTCTCAATAAATTTAGGTCAATCACACGATAATTCAATGTATTACTAACACATTTCTCTTGTACACAATATCACAGCAAGACAGATAATCAGTCAATCTAAACCTGCTTACTAACATTCAAACAATGCAATTACGTGTAATACCTGAAGGTACAGTGAACAAGTGGAGTAAAAGTATCTTTACTATATGCTTTGTATACTACTGAAATTTAACAGACTTTTTGGAGTAACTTGTCAAGAAGTATAGAACAGTTTATTAAAAGAATTATGAAAGTTTATTACAAAAATATATCAATAGAGATATATCA